CACAACATATTTTTAACAACAATGTAGCACATAACAAATTTTGTAAGTTTTTATGGGTTCGTACCCAGATATTTAGTATCTGATGATGATATATTAAGTATCAAAAACGCTTTCCTTCTGTTTTTTTTTGTTTAGATGAAATTCTAAACATAATTCATGTCATTGACACTCAAAGTGTATGTTTGCGTTAATTCTGTAGAGATTTTAGCCTATATTTTAGTATTGTTTATACTTGGAGCTTTTCATAGATCGAAAAAGGTGATCACTATGCTTTGGTGTGACGATGTTGCTTACTACCGTCCTATAATACCAGCTGCTATGTCAAGAGATAGGTTCAAGCAAATAACTTCATTTATACGTTTTGATAATTTTGAAACCAAACAAGAACGAAAATTAGTAGATAAACTGGCCCCAATAATAGATATATGTTATATTTTTATTTCTAATTGTATGAAATCACTTAATCCAGGCGACCATATCTGTGTAGATGAGCAGCTCGTGCCTTTTAGAGGTAAACAAGCAACATTCCGACTTTATATGAAGACCAAATCTGACGAGTACAGATTAAAGGTATGGGACTCTGTGGACTGCACTACTTCTTTTATTGTAAACATTTAAATTTATTTTGTTAAGTTTTTGAATTGACAATAAGAAAACAAGCAAATTTTTAAATCTATTCACTTTTAGGATAACAATGTCCTAAGGCGGAAAAAGGTCAAGGCCAAAGAGTTGTCCTAAACTTGATAGACCATTTGAAAGGAGGGTTTGAAATAACAACTGAAAATTTATTTACGAGTTTACAACTTACGGATAGGTTATGGGCGAATAATATAACTATATGTGGAAATCTTCGAAAAACACGTTTATTCCAAGTAAATTTCTACCAGTATCATATAAAACAGATTATTCACGTATGTTTGCTTTTAGAAAACATCGAACGTTAGTGTCTTATGTTCCAAAACCAAGAACTGCAGTCATCTTACTTTTAAGTAAGCATGTTGACGACAAAGTGACTGGTGAAGAACACTCCGATAAACCTGAAATTATTCTACATTACAACAAAACGAAAGGAGCTGTCGATACAACCGACAAGTTAGCTAAAAAATATACAGTACAAAGAAAAACAATACGTTGGCCAATGGCTATATTCTCTCAATTTATTGATGTCGCAGGTAATAAATCCTATTTATTGTCGCTACTAAAATATCCTGATTGGAAAAAGCACAATATGAGTAATGTGTACACAAAATGTATATTTTGACACTGTGCAAAGAACTTATGATGGAATATGTTTTTAGACGTTATAACAGTAAGCACATCGAAAAGAATAAAAAACCCAGAGTAGAACAAACCAAAAATACAAGAAGGCGGTGCCGTATGTGCTGTAGAGGCAAAGACAGAAAAACTAGTAAATTGTGTATAAGATGTTACAATTTTGTATGTATAGAACAGGCAAAATCAAAAATAGTTGTGTGTACATTGTACAAATAGTATATGTATTTGTTATTTAGTCTTTTAGCGTTAGCAGTAGAATGTATTTAGTTTAATAAATGTTTAATACTATAAAAAGTAATGTGTTACTGGTACAGTTGTTTTTTCATATAAGCATAGTTCACCCATTTAAGAATGGGGTCCGTTCAGACCTCAGCCCATCTTTTGTGTAATATTTGATGTGTAACAGAGCTCAACAAAATAATTAAGCAAAATCTAGGAAAGACCTAAGAAAGTACAAAATAACAAAATTAAATAAAATACTACAAGAACAAAAAGCCATAAGAGACTGGAAAAAGAAAAAAAGCGAAAGTAGAAATTTAATTACAAACTAATTAATGAAAACAGGGAAATTACCGAAATTCAAAAAATAACCACTACGATAGAAAACTACTATCAAACATTATACGAGTCAAAAGTAACACCATCACCACGTACAAGACGAAAAACACCGAAAAATGGTAAAAAAATGTTGGATCTGAAGATATATAACAGAGAACGAAATAAGAAACCTAATGAGCACTATGCGAAATAAAAAGGTCCAGGTATAGACGCAATAGTATTAGAAATAATAAAGTATGACGAACAACACGTTATAAAAATGTTTTTAAAAAATCATTTTTAATAAATGTATAGAAATAAGTGAAGTACCTACAGCTTGGTTAAATCTCAATAATACGTATATTTAAAAAGGGAAATAAAAATGTATTCGAAAACTGTAGACATACTCGTCTATTATCAGTCTTGTATAGAAGAGGTTATAGCACCATAGATCACAAGCAATACGAACACTAATTTAAAAATTAAATGTATACAATGTAACATTCTAGCTATCTATGGTAGATTAAGAGAAAGCATTTGACTTTATAGAAATTTGGGCCATTCTTAACGCCTTAAGCAACAACAGAATTAATGAAGAATATAAAAAAATCCATGAGATATTCCACATATCCAACCCTATTTGAAATGTACTGAGAAAACATTGACAACATGGAAAAGAAAATTCTATGGCATGGGAGTACCGGTACGAAACGATTACCCACATACGTTAAGCTTTGCAGACGATCAAGTAGTGATTGCACAAGACCAAGACGACCTCAGCTACATGATAAAGAAACTACATGAAGAATATACCAAGGATGACCTAGATATTAGTCTCACGAAAAAAGAGTTCCTGTCTACAAGTGAAGAAGACATAGAAGATCTTCAGATTGACGACAACGTAACAATCAAAGGAAAGGATAAATTCAAAAACTTGGGATTTACAATCACGAAAAAGGCAACAACAGGAAGAAATTAAACAAAGATTAGGACCAAATAGAATAGCAATCCGACAAAAACGTATGGTAAGATAGACACCTAAATATGAAGACAAAAATACAGATTTATAAAACATGCGTGCAAAGTATTATGACATATGGTGCTAAAAATTGTATTATAAACAAGAAAAACAGCAGAAAGATAGTAGAAATAAAGATGGAAAGACTGCATAGATGCTGTAGAGTAACACGAATAGATAGGAGAAGAAATAATAATAATGGATAGGAGAAGAAATAAAAATAAGGAACATCAATAGAAACGGAAATACTAACATAATATATAGAACAATAAAAGTTAAAGTGGTACGGACATGTAAGAAGAACTAGCGACAGCATATGAATAAAAAAGATATGAAGGAGGAAAAGAGGATGACCCTGGAGGAACGAAGAAGACGACGCCATAAGACCCAAACGATGGAGAATGGGACAATAGAGAGAGATAAAAAGAGCTAAGCTAGGGAAGGCAGTGCATACTGTAGAATCCCTGAATAATATATATATATATATATATATATATATATATATATATATATGAATATATATATATATATATATATATATATATATATATAGATATATATATATATATATATATATATATATGAATATATATATATATATATATATATATATATATATATATATATATATATATATAGATATATATATATATATATATCTATATCTATATACATATATATATATATATATATATATATATATATATATATATATATATGTATATATATACATTCAGTATATATATGACAATGAAACGTTGCAAATAAAAACAGAAGAAGAAACAGAAAAAATAAAGCTTCAGATAGAGGCAGGAACAGCTATTTACTTTTGCTCTAAATTTGCTGATGATATTGCCTTATTAGTAGAATACAAAGAAGAATTGGAGGAAATGCTATCAGACCTAAATACAAAATCAAAAGAAATAGCACTAAAATTAAATCTTGCAAAAACTAAATACCTGGCAAACATAACTTTAGATCTAAGTGAGGATATAACTCTATATAATAATAATATAAAAAATTAACGAATTAGCAAAGCTTAACTTAAAGGCTGAGTTAAATAGAAGATGTTCCTTAGCATGGGCAGCATTCAGAAACTTTTTATCAGTATGTGCTGCCGTTACTGACATATGGAATTGAAATATGCGCTTTTAACAACAACGTAATCAACAAATTACAAGTGACACTATAGATTACCTATCGCAAGTCTAATGAAGAAATAAGAAGACGAACAAAAGTTATAATTTAAGTATATATAAAGATATAATCCAAAAGATCGTCATGTTAAAATGGAACTGGGCAGGACACATAAGAAGAATGGACGGCAACCAATGGACAAAGCAAGTTATTGAATTGCGACCAAGAGCAAACAAGAGAAATAGAGGCAGACTTCAAACCAGATGGACTGATAAAATCAAGCAAATGGCTGGTCACGAATGGATGAAAAAACAAGAAACAGAAATGAATGAACACATCTAAGGGACGCTTAAATCCGACGATGGACGAAATAGCTATTGATGATGATGATATACCAATCGTAACATATAAAGGAAGTTAATAAAGTAATTTGACCAAGGCCACGTAGAAATAACAACATATACGATAATGATTAGATATAGATTGATAACATATATTTTTTTATTTTCTTATTTTCAATATGACTAAATTTTTAATTAAAATATTACAAAAATTTCTCTCCAAAATAGTACAAAACCTAGAAAAAGGTATAATTATTCATTATTTAATTTTATATATTTTATTTTACTAGTAAAATTCAATATACTTTAAATTTTTGACGATTATATTATGTACACTAAGTCGTTAAGTCTGAATTTCCTGTTTACTTACACAAACTTCAATAGATGCACTAAAGTGTCGTGTCATTTATATCAGCACACCCACAGCTAGATTGTATTCTAAATTATGAAGCCATTTAAATTCCCATCAAGTCTTCCACATGTCATTCGCTACCGTCACAATATTTTTCCGATGGACGTCCCTTGCGGCTGCATTTGCGAACGTCGTATGAACTTTTAGGTGCATCGCAACGCCGAATTGAACGAAATGAAGATGTGCATCTGAAAGGGGGAGTAAAATGTCAGCAAGGTAATCTTCGCTACGGATTTAGACAAAAGGTATATATAAAAGAAGTACTTATACACCACCGGTTAGTTTTGCCGATTTGTATTTTCAGTGATTCTGGATATTTTCGAAAAAATCGTAAAAATGAAATTGGTGAGTGAAAGTGAATTTCTATTTTGTAATATTTTGTGAAAATTAAAAAAAAAATGTGGTAAATTATTCTCAGGAAATCTTTTCGCATTTAGACAATTCAGTTTATTAACCCTTCTCAAAAAGTTTCTTTCGAAATCTATTTTTACGTTTTTCGATTTAAACTATTAAGATTTAAAAAGTTGTTAAATACTTTAAATACGAAATTTAAAATAGTACATGAACTACTTTTTAATCGAGTAATTATTGTAGTATACTGCCTACTCTTTCCTAAATCGATTATTTGTTAATAATCGATATTAGAAAAGAGAGATATCACTGTTAAAACAGAGACTTAAGGATTTTCCCGTGACATTCATTGATAAGGTATCTAAGAACTGCTTTTGATAAATTTGGTGATAACATTATGCAATAAACAAAATTTGCAAAAGATTAAACGTCATTTTTTACTTATAAACATTATACAATGTAATATGGATATTTTCGAAAAAATCATAAAAATGAAATTGGTGAGTGGAAGTGAATTTCTATTTTGTAATATTTTGTGAAAATAAAAAAAATGTAATATATAATTCTCAGGAAATGATTTCATATTTAGAAAATTTAGTTTATTAACCCTTGTCAAAAAATTTCATTAGATATCTATTTTTACAAGGTTTTTCAATTTAAAATATTAAGATTTAAAAATCTGTTAAATACTTAAATTAGAAAATTTAAAATAATACATGAACTTCTTTCTAATCGAGTAAGTAATGTAGTATACTGCCTATTCTTTCCTATAATCGATTATTTGGATATCACTGTTAGAACAGAGAACTAAGGATTTTCCCGTGACATTCATTGATAAGGTACCTAACAACTGTTTTTGATAAATTTGGTGATAACATTATGCAATAAACAAAATTTGCAGAAGATTAACGTCATTTTTTACTTATAAACATTATACAATGTAACATCGCTATTTAATTTTAAATAGTGAAGGTGAAGACCAGCAAATTATATGGATAAGTGACACAATTTTACTGATGAAGGATAAAAAATCCTTTAAACTGAAAGTTTGTAAAATTATTTTTATTAAGTTGTTGCTTAATTATTGCAAGAATATTTTTAAGAAATTATTTTTTTAAATTATTAATAACTTTCCTAAAAATGTACAAAAAACTTTGAGACATTCAGGTTTAAAAATTTCAAGGAGTTTCATTTAATAATTATTGCAAAATTGAAATTGTTTATCCCAGAAAGCTTTTATCTACAACGTTATTATGCGTAAACTATTATGTCTACCCAAATTCTGAGAGCACCAGATTGATGAAAAAGGCTAATTTTGTTAAATTAAATCACTTAATCAAATGATTAAAACTTTTATGCTAAATATTGTAAAATAGGTTTGTAAAAGTGCTGTTATTTTAAGTGTATAAACAATTGAATTAACTTAGACGTAATAACATGTAGGAAGATATTTTTTTTTGTATTCGTTATGTTTGCATTTTTACACGAATTGCAACAAAATATAATATTCTACTGCCCATAAAACATGAGTTGGCCCTTTTTGTTCAAATATTTAACGGAGCTTTGTTTATAAACAATAACCGATTCAAAAACAACAATTTAGTGGAACAACAACAACAAAAGGATAAAAGTTGAAGTTTAGACAAAAAAAATTAAAAAGATTCTTTTAAAATAGGCTGTTCAGGATGCGACGAAAATAAAGGGTTTTTACAATTTCAAAAACTGAATTGATAAATTCAAATTTATAAGAATTGCAATATATCCGGTTTTAATTAACGAAGATTGATGTTTATTTTAATTTGGGGTACCGCGTGGCATATATCATAAAAACGCTTTTAGTCACTTTGTGTACTGTTTATTTAACCGAGTAATTTGTTTAAACAATTTAAAATAAATATTTATTTTGCTAAAATTTTAATTTTCTTTTAATATCATAAGTGGAAAAGGACATAAAAAAATAAGCAACTTAAATATTTATGTATAATAGTTATAAATAATATCGTTTAAAAATAAATTTTACAAATATTATGCTTTATTATTTTTAAAATGGTCTAAAAAATGTTAAAAATATATTTTACACAACATAATTGTTATAAACTCTGTAGAATTATAAATAAAAATTGAAAAAGTTTTCTGTACAAATAATAAATTAATATCTACCACTTTATAAACTTAATTTTATTTTTATTTATAATTATACAAAGTTTATAGCAATAAATTTATTTTTAAATATATTTGTATCGTTTTTCAGTCAAGAAAAATATTTTTGTAGAAATAATTAGCATAATTTAGTAAAAATTAACTCACCTATAGATTTAATAGAGCTAACTCGGGTTTTAAGGATCGTAAGACATTAAATTGTGTTGCAGTTATCTCTTTTCGCATGTATTTTTGTGTCCCAGTTTAACACCATCAGTTGTAGATCATTTTTAATTATTAATTACTAACTTTGTAGATCTCTCACGTATTATGAACATTAAGTATGATTCTGAGAGATCTGGGGTCTTGGTCTACATCGTTTGCTTCTTGTGGGCGGAGTCCATTTTTCTATCTTTTTGGTCATCATTCTCTTGCAGGTGTTCATACCAGTTTAGTATTTGGCTTCGATAGTGTGTATTATGTCTAGGACAATTTTTATTTCTCTCCTAATTACTTTCCTTATTATATTAAGTCTAGTGAGCCGGCAACATCGTCTCCAATAGTCCATTTCTATGACCTTAATTTTTGATTCATTTCATTGATTGATTTCCCAAAGTTAGACGTACAACTCAATACTTTCTGTTATTGTTTTATAAATGCTTCTTCTGCTTTTTTGTTATTTTAATATTTTACAGTAGTCCGTGTAGCTGTCTAGTGACTGATTGATTTCCACTTTTAATGTTTTTTGGACTCACAAGTATTAAAAGGTTACGGTTGATTGTGTAGTTTCCGTTTCATGCTGTAGTCCTTTTTTGTCATGTAATTAAATATACTCGGTTTTTTGTATAATAATTATAAAATCCACAAGGAAAACAATTCCTGTAGCTAGCTGTATACCACGTATCACAAAAAAGAGGTTAGTCTTCGTAAATGGGTATATTTATTTAAAAACCCTTAAAAGGGCTACATCAAAAAAACAAACGTTTTCGGACTAAACAGTCCATCATCAGGTTAAAAATTTTAAAATTTCAAGGTTATAATGCCTGAGCCACCAAAAGAACTGGGTAAAAACCCTTTAAATTACATATAGTTGTAAAAGATTATACATCATGTTGTAAAAAAACTGTGGTGTTCAGTATTAAATTAAATTTGACTTCAGGTAACATACATGGCTGAAGTGAGTTCCAGAGCAGTAAACCTCTTCAAACGGAGAATAGCTGGTAACTGTTACTGTAACTGTTACTGAAAGGTTGTAATATTTTCTTAATAACCTGCTTTAGATAACATATGCTGTCAATACAGAATCTGCTTGTACGAAACTCACTATTTTCTTCTACATCTTTCATATCTTTTATTAGAAATTTTATTTTTTATTATTTTTCCATAGAATCTTGAGAGGAAGTTTATGTCACTAAGCCACCTGTAATTTGAACAATTCTTTCTCGTTTTTTGTACATATTGTTAATATATGATTTTGTCTACTTCGGTGGTAAGTCATATCCTTTATTTAATAAGGTAAAAACATACTCTAGTAATTCCCAGAATACGTGTGTGAGTTTTAGTAATTTGTTCGGTATACCTTGTGTTTCGCATGTTATTGGATTTTTTTGATTTCGAATTGCATCTTTGACTTCCTGTCAAAGAATTCATGAATTGCGGCATTTTTTTAGTTAGAAATTGTGAGTTATATTCGATTTAAGATAGTTTTTCTTTTAAATTAATTCTCCTCGCTTCTTTTTTGTTTGTTTTCAGGTTTTTTACCTTTCTGGATGCTTTTCTTGATCTTGTTGACCCCATATTTGTTGAGTTCTTCGCATGTATATTCCCAAGAAATATTGTATGCTTTAGTTGGTAGATTTTTTACTTCTTTGTTGAATCCTGCGTATGTTCGTCTATCCGTCTATCGCCCAGAATCTTTAAACCAAACACCAATTATACAAAACCCTAGTAAAACTAGTCTTCGTATATAAAATCGAACAAATTGACACTCTCAATGAGGGATAAGCAACTAGTATGTGTCTTTAAAAGAAAAATCGTCAGACCAGTGTAAAATGAAGTGAAGTAAAAGAAAATAGTGTATTGCTCAGATGATGTTGTTTCGTATACACAGCACACAAAGAATCTGATATCATAATTTAATTGGCCATTTATCCTGGATGGCCCATATTAAACAAGAGTATAATTGTAAATTAATGTAAGTTAATGGAAAATGTGATCGCTAACATCCATTAGTGGATTTGCATCTGAAGAAGAAGAATAATTGTAAAGCAGTTACAATTAGGAAAAGTTTAGAAGGGTGACTCTTACTAAGATACACGGAACAAGTTCTGAAAACTCTTTATGTTAAACTTTGATTTTGAACTTGAGAAGAAAAAAGCAAGGTACAGAATAAAACAGTAGATATCATGAAAATATTCATTACCCACAAAGGGTTGTCAAGTTAATAATGATGATAATATTGATATGCCAATAAACTACATATTTGAGTGTTAACTTAAAACCAAAAAGTAAGGTAAAGCATCAAACAGCTAAAATCATAGAAAAAACCCTTATCCACAAAGGGATATCAAAGTAAATAATGATTATGATGAAACTGATATAGCAATAGACTACAGTAAATTTAATTTTATTACATGTCAAAAAAAAGATGCAGTAACGACTGATCTACGTAAGATGGGGACACTGCAACTATGGAAGATTGCTGAACAAGACCGGCAATTGTGGAGAAAAATAATAAACTCGGCTGAGACTCACTAAGAGTGATAGAGCCAAGAAAGAAGAAGAAAAAGACATAAAAAAACTACTTTAAAGGATCTAGTATTTAACTATATCTTTGTCTCACCATATATTTGTGATTTGTTAGTTTATTTACTTTATTACCACCTTATTTTTTATGGTTGTCCATGTTCTTATGGTTTTCTGCGTCTTAAAATCTTGGCAACTCTTTATCATTTGTTTCGTCAATATGACGATAGGTTCATTTATTTTGGTGACGTATTCGTAACCAGTGTCCAAAAATGCTTCTAAAAATAGGTCTTGGTTAATTTCCGGTCTTAAATTTTTCCATTCCGGTGAAAAATGTTGTTAACTTCCGTTTACCTCTGATCTTTCCCATAAAAACTGGAGACTTACCTTTTTCTTTAGGGTGAAATCCTTAACTTGACACAAACGATTGATTTAATTCCAGGCCTTTATTTATATCACCTACAATAAAGAAATGTACCATACAAATGTATTAAAAGTTTTCTCTTTAATTTAGTCATTAGAAACGAAAATGCTACTAAATCTAAATATCATACGATATAATCATTATCAGTTTTCTTGAGCCCTCGGCTCCCTCAAAATATTCCTTCATTCTTTCCTGTCAAGTGTCTGTCTTCTTTATCCCCTTACTTCAATCTCCCTTTAAATCTTCCTGCACATCATAAAATACCTGAGTTTAGGTCGCTCCTTTCCAATCAGTACGTGGTCTATCTAATTTTGGGTCTGTTGATTTAAGGGTGCCCACGACACTTTATGTATACGATTATGTTGGAAGTATGTACTATTGATCATGATTTTCAAAGATGCTGCGAAATTTCAAGTCTATTCTTAAGTCATTCTCTGTGTATGCTGTGAGGTCTTATGGTTGGTCTGTACATCTCTTATTATCCTACCATAGCGTCCTTGTCCGCAATAATCATTTTATTGTGGTTATTGGTACATTGTCTATTATGTTTGTTCTAATTTCTCATATAATTGGTGGAAACATATATATTTATGAGACTATAGTTAAAGAATGTTCTACGTATTTTTAGAGCACATATCTATAACGTTAGATCCTATTATTACTGTTACTGTTACTTTACTAACCTAATAATGGGATTTAACTAACTAAATTAGGATAATAAAAAATAGGTAAAGAAATAATAATAAGACTTACTCACAATCAAATTTGATTGTGAGTAAGTCTTATAATTATTTCTTTACCTATTTGATATGGACTCACACAAGCAACACATTCATGATTTAAATTAGGATACTTTAACTTTTTTGCTAACTATAAAGCTTACACCAAAAATATGTCGCATTTGATGGCAGCTATAGTATATTGTATTTAAATCCTTCTGGACAGTGCCAGTCCCTTTCCATCGTACCTCGTGTACAGCTCTTAGGTTTATGTTCACATGTTATGTTATATTTGTTAAGGGCATCTAAGAGGCATCTCATCATTCCTTCAGAGTAGAATGTTCTCACGTACTATCATCCAAATCGATTATTCTTTTTTCGTTTGACAGATTGTGTATATAAGCTCAGTCCAGTTTATGTTGTTTCTGCTCTCGTAACAATGCTTTTCTTTCGGGTAGGGTTGTTAGCCCTATACTCAAACCCCAGACTCGGAGGATCAGGTTGTATTTTGTTATTTTTGGTCCGTGGGTTTTAATCCTGTAACCGATTAAGGCGGCACCCTACCCACAACCTGGGAATACATCTGATGCGTCTAAAAAGCTTAGACTGTCCAACAATAATTATTCGAGCATTAAACCATATCTCCTTTTTACATCTGTTTTGATGGCTCAAAATTGAAATTCTTAGCAAAATGAAATCTCTGACGACTGGATTAATTTCCTTATCTTTTCCGCTGCGGTAACTTCTCTGATTTCATGATCCGTATATTTATAATACTTTTATTGTTCGTGTTGCCAAAAGTTAAAAAATATTTTAATAAGTCTTAAATAAATAAAAGGGGACCACTTAATAAAACCTGCTAATTTAATTAAATAAGTAATATTAATTTTTAATAAATATATTTACATTTTAAGGTTTTGGTTTTGACTGTTATAATTGCCGGTGTTTTCGCCGCTCCCCAAAGTGCCGACAAAGATGCTGTCGTAACAAAATATAACTCAGACAATACTGGAATTGATGGATACAATTTTGAGTAAGTAAAACATGTTCATCAGCGTATTGGCAAATGACAAATTAATTTATTTATTTTTGTTGTTTTTCCTAGCACTTAAAACTACTAGGATGTTGGTCTTATCCGTAACTTGTTTTGATAAAGAGTGCCACTTATTGGCGTGCCTGAAGCCTAGCCTAAATTTGCTAGCTTTAAGTTTACTACTCTTGCCTCAATTCCTCTTTATATCTTTGCAAATGTCTCCCTCTACTTGTTCAATATGTTTTGTACCTTTGTATTGTCTCATTTATATGAAATAGACATTCAGCTCTTGTCTTACTTTTTACTTACATTCTATTACGTTTTGTAATAACTGTTCGATATAATAATCTCATTTTAATCGCTTGGATTCTACAATTTTTTGGTGAACTATTACTTAGCTTTCAAATTTATATAACAGAGTAGTTGTGGTATAAAGTTTTATCATTTTAATTATTGTATCGTTCTTGTCTTATTCTCCAGTTATTCCGCATATATATTGAAATCTTTTCAATTCTGAAAATGTGTAACTAATTTCCTATTTCACTTGTTTCGTAGATTTTTACTATTGTTAATGATCGATATTATTGCTCTTAATGTCATCTTGTTACTTCTGTCTATGGTTACAATATTCTCCTGTCAGTTTCTTAGGTATATTTCCTTGAGAATCATTCGCTACTAAGACTCCCTATTTTGGCCATTCGGTAATCCTCATCAGCATTATCCAGCCTGCCTTTATCACGTTCACCGCTGAAATAGGTCTCCCTTAAACTCTCCCATTCTTTGCGATTTTGTTCTCTTTCTAGCCAATTTTTGGTGATACGCCTGATGTCATCAGTCCAGCATGTAGGTGGTCTTCCTTTACTATGTTTGTCTGCACTTGGCCTCCAATTTGTAATTTTGCTCGTCCATCGTGAGTCATGGATCCTGCCCAGTTCCATTTCAGTACCGCCATGCGTTTTACAACATCAGCAATACTCATCTTTATTTGCAGATCTTCGTTTCGTATTCGGTCTCGCAACTTCACTCTCAGCAGAGACCGTTCCATTCATGATTCCATTCATCTCTATGCCACTTTTAATTTCGAATCGGTGGTCTTGGTTAGAGTCATAGTTTCCACCCCATAGGCCATGACCGGTAATACGCATTTTCTTTTGAACCAAATTGGTATGTTGGCCCTAAGTGTGTCTCGCAGTTTTTCAAAGGCTGCCCACGCCAAAGTAATTCGTCTTTGTATTTCGCATGTTAGGTTATCCCTGCTAATTCTTATTTTATGACACAAATACATGTCTTTTTTTACCAGCACTATGTCTTGTATAGTTAAATGGTGACTGGGGAGTATATTTGTTATAAACTTAGTTTTGGTCAAGTTCATTCTGTGGACCATCTTCGAACATGCAAAGTCCAATTTATTTGGTAATCCATTCAGTGTATTCTCCTAAATTATCTGTGATAAGGACAATGTCATCTACGAAACAGAGATGGTTAAGTTTTTGCTTATACTTCGGTACATTCGGTAATGCTTTTCTGACATAAAATGTCACAAATACTATGCCATATTTACATAAATGCTTTCATTTTCTTGATCAAGTGGTTAGTTTTAATTAATGAGCTAATGCCCGATTTTTGATAATGGGTTTATATTTTGATTTCGAAGAGAAAGGTTCTTAAACACCTTAAAAACTTTTACTTAGTTACTTACTCTGTATCTCTACAACACATTGTGGGTTTTAGCTAACTATACTATCTTTTTATGTTTCTTCCGGTCCATTATTATGTTCATGCTTTTTTTAGCGATAATATTTTTTAATTTGGTGCGTAGTTGTTCTGGTAGCCTTCTTCCTTCCTGGTAAGACTGTCATGCTAATTTCGATCATTGATCATCTGGTTCTCATTAGATGTGACTTGCTCATCTTAATCTTTTCTTAATATTTTCTGGTTAAAGGACCTTAATTTTTCTCTTGTGGATATAATAAGTGTCCAGATTTTGCTTCCGTACAAAAGAATCTTATAGTCTAATACTATAATAATAATCTGTGAATGTCATCTGCAATAATCGTAGTTTTTTCTTCTTCTTCTCTGTAAAAATTTATTGTAGATGTATAATTTTTATATTGAAACTAATTTTCTTTCTCTTAATAACACACTCTTTATTTTTTTTTTAGTTTCGAAACGAGTAACGGCATCTCCCAACAGGAACAAGGTCAACTGACGAATCAAGGAACAGAAAATGAACTTATGAAAGTTACTGGCTCGTATTCCTTCACGTGGAACGGAGTAACGTACACAGTTACCTACACTGCAGATGAAAATGGATTCGTACCTGTGGGAGATCATATCCCAAAATAAAAGACTAGCTCAATCGCGTACCATTATTATTTAATATTTTTATGTAAATATATTTTATGAAGTATCAATAAATGATATGAACTTACGTATATGTTTTAATTTCCTATATTTTTCAGTATTTTATTTTTAGAACAAGACATACTATTTTTCATTTAAAATTTTTTTTTTCTGGGTCATTAGCGACATTAGTTTACATTAGTTACATTATATTAAATTATATAAAGATGTTTCTTTTAGAAATCTAATTAAGTTTTTAGTATTTAAATGTTCACCTAATACTTTTTTTAAGTCACTGGAAATATTATTATTTTGTCTGTCAACTGTATATTTTCCACATTCTGTTAGGAGATGTTTAACAGTAATATTGCCTTGACAGTAATCACACACTGGAATGTCTTCTTTACTTATTAGGTGCTTATGAGTAATATTGGTATGACCTAATCGAAGTCGAGAAATTTTGACTTGGTCAGCTCTTTTTAAGTTTACTAGGCGCCACGGTTTCACTGTCGATTTAATTTCTTTTTTCTCTAATATTACTACTTTATACCAATTGTGGGTCTTCATCATCATCATCATTCAGCCCATACTCGTCCACTGCTGAACATAGGCCTCCCGTAGTTCACCCCACAAATTTCTGTCCTGAGCCGCCTGCATCCAATTTTGATGTGTCCGTTTCAGGTCATCCGTCCATCTTGTTGGTGGTCGTCCTCTATTCCTAAAGGCATCTTGTCTGGGTCTCCACTCAAGAATGCGTTTTGTCCATCTGCCGTCCTTCGTTCTCGCGACGTGCCCTGCCCAGCTCCATTTTAAGGTTGATATTCTTTTGATTGCGTCGGTTACTCCCGATCTACGGCGCAATTCTGTGTTGGGTATTCGGTCTCTCAGGGTTAATCCCAAAATGGACCGTTCCATTGCCCTCTGTGTTGTTCGAATTTTGTTTGCGGACGTCTTAGTAAGTGTTAGCGTCTCCGCACCATAGGTTAGAACCGGCAGCACACATTGATCGAACACTTTTCTCTTCAAGCAGATGGGAAGAGCTGATTGGAAAACATATCTTAGCTTTCCATAAGCTGCCCATGTCAACCCTATTCTACGTATTAGTTCATTGGTCTGGTTATCTCTACTTAAGCGAATTTCGTGTCCCAGATATTTGTATGCTGATGTTTGTTCTATACTTGTTCCAGCTATGTTGATGTTCTCACTCAGAACAAGGTTTGTCATCACTTGTGTTTTTGAGTTATTGATCTTTAAACCCACTTGTGTAGAGGCATGGTAGAGTCTTTCGCACATTTCGATGGCATGATCTATGCGGTCTGTTATCAGGACTATATCGTCCGCGAACCTGAGGTGACTAAGCTGCTCTCCATTTATGTTTATCCCCTTTTCGTCTAGGTTTGCACGCTTACACATGTATTCCAATAATGTTGTAAACAGTTTTGGTGAAATGGTGTCGCCCTGGCGAACTCCACGATCAATGTTGAACTTGTGTGTATCTTCATGGAGTCTGACGCATGCCGTGGCATTATCATAGATATTTTTGATGACAGTGGTGTAGCGGTGATCTATTCGGCACTCTTTTAAAGCTTCTAGCATTTTCTGGTGGTTTACTGTGTCGAATGCTTTCTCATAATCCACAAATATTAGGACGAGGGGTTTATTGTACTCTATACATTTTTCGATGAGGCTTTTAATAACTTGTAGATGGTCGTTTGTGCCGAAGCCTGACCTGAATCCTGCCTGTTCGCATGATTGGTAAAAGTCCATTTATTGTGGGTCTTATCTTGTCTGTTAATACCTTTTATATATTCAAATTTATTCATTTTGAAAACCACAGACATGTAATATTGGCATAATTACTATAATTTGTATGAACTAACTTATTTGTTTATTTTATCTTTATTAGACACCACCCTAATTGGGTTTATTTTATTGCAGCATTAGTTTAACTTTGTATCTAGACCTGAAGATGCTTTGCAAATTGTAGAAAGCGAAACCGACCGTCAGATTGTTAAATTAAATTGATTGTGAGTAAGTCTTATTATTATTTCTTTACCTATTTGATATGGACTCACACAAGCAACACATTCATGATTTTTAATTTCTTTTAATTTAGATTCCGATAAGTTTCACTTATTTTGCCAGGCACTAATCACTTTTTCTTTAACGAACTGTTTTATATCACTGCAGATAGTCTTTTACACTATTATAGCTTGATCATTTTTGGTAGCTTCTCTTGCTTGGAGGTCTGCGTTTTCATTACCTTGTATTCCCGTGTGAGATGGAACCCACATAAATTTGACTTCTGAACCAGATTCTTGTAAGGCAGCAAGTTATTTCTTGAAAAGGAGGGCTCTAGGGTTCTTAGTATATAGTTGACCGATTGTTGTTAAGGAGTTTAGAAAATCTGTGATAATGACGGAAGAAGAATGGTTTGTACTTTTAATATGAATGAGGGCTTGTAATATTGCATATAATTCTGCTGTGTAAATAGAAGTGGCTGGCAATAATTTAAATTGGGAAGAGGAATATGGAGTGACAAAGGCTGCTCCTACGTCATTTGCAGATCTGGAGGCATCTGTATAAATGCAAAAGTTTTTCCCGTAAGTCTTAAGTTCCTTTAAACATGACTGTCGGATTACAGTGGGTGATGTATCTGATTTGTTATATTGGAGTAGCGTCGTATTGATTTCGGGAATCATGATTAACCAGAGGTGGAAAAAAAATTTAATATACATATATATATATATATATATATATGTATATATATATATATATATATATATATATATATATATATATAATCCAATATATATAATCAGTCAATTAGTAACAATTTTTATCATGCAGTGCTCCTACTTAGTAGCAAATATTTCAACAAGGTTTTGTATTCAAGACTTCTATTCAAATTCAAGCAACTTTTAAGCTAGCTTTGACTATTAGGTTTAATAACCTTAGAACACTGGTATATAAAAAACACAGAAGTTAAAACACTTCACAATTGTGTATTTTGGTACAAAAACATACAAGTACTTAAAAACTTTTTAAAAGTGTCGTCAACATTTAAAATTATGGCAGAACGTTTTCAATCTATACAGATCATCTTCAGTGCCTTTGGTATTTGGTGCTAACAGTAAGGTGTCTATAAGACTTCCATGTGTGGATTTAAATCTATACAGATCATCTTCAGTGCCTTTGGTATTTGGTGCTAACAGTAAGGTGTCTATAAGACTTCCATGTGTGGATTTAAAAAATATATCACATTTTACATTTAATAATGTTGAGAGTCTAGGTCGATGACAATGGAATTGTTTTTAAAATTAAAATTTACTTTAGGGACTACATGTCTCTTAAGCTCGAATACTTGCACATGGTACTTGTCAGGTTTCAACTTTTAAGTTGTTTTTAAGTACTTGTATGTTTTTATACCAAAATACACAATTGTGAGTGTTTTAACTTCTGTGTTTTTTAAACGATGGTATAGAGCCAATTAGGGGGTTTTTCCCATTAATTTTGTACTGGTAAATAAATGCAACCATAAACCAATACATCAATACAAAATGCAAAATACCCCAATAATATAAAACACACTCTTATTTATAGAAGTAATTAAAACAATTTTGAAGATGGAAGAAACAAAGAAAAACATCTTAATTGTTGGTCTATTTATCTGTCACAGTTATTAATAATAATGAAGAAACAAGCTCAAGTATCTAAATCTGATTAAAAATAATATCGCAACTGCGCATGAATTAAATAGTCCAATGAAAATTATATTAAAGGATGAAAATCAGGTTCACGTTAATATAGAATATTCTGTAGTATTCAGAAACCAACTTGGAAATTTATGAACATCGAAATATCAAGATCATTATCACAATCTGAAGTTTCCACTTGACAAACAGTAAAAGGAGAAAAATGAAATAATATCTACATACTAATGATGATCCCAAAATAGTTCTGTCCACCTAAAAAATGCTTATAATTTTAAACTATTCCTAATATTCCTAATAAGTTGTTACCCCTCGTCGGTTATTGGAATATAACGATACTTAATCCCATTTGCATTCTTGTTGAGTAGAAGTAGTGATCGTGATTATAGTGCTACTGCTTTTACTAAAAGAGTTTTTTTTATAACAGTCGATAATGATTTCAATGTAACTAGATTAAAATTGTATTTAAATAATGTTCTTCCAATCACTGTCATTGTTGAAATAAAAATAAGATTTAATCACATCAATATTCGAGAATACTGTATTAGATCAGGCAAAGTAGCTCAATTTTAATTAAAAAAAAATTGTTATCCAAAGTTTTATGGTCGAAAGTTGTTAGTGGGGCTATAAAATATTAAATAAAATGGTAATTAAACAGATGAAATATTCCGGAGGTAATTGGGAGGAATAAGGAGGTAAAAGAGTGCGAAAAAAGATATTTTCCAATTTTCGGCAAAACATCAAAAAATATTTTCAATGTGAGAGATGTAGATGGTCAAATATCGCTTCTGGTATATAAGTATATATATATATATATATATATATATATATATATATATATATATATATATATATATATATATATATATATATACATATTGTATATAAGATTTGAAATATAAAAATTTATCAAATCGTCTTTTACAATTTATTTTTATTTATTTTTTTTTTAAGTTTTTTTTTTAAGAAAAATTCATTGAAAAAAGCTCAAAATTCCGATTAAGAGTATGTTAAATTTATACCTCTCACTCTCAATATGTTGATGACGGACCAACACGTGGTAAGCAAGCGACTGGAGACAACTAAATTTATATGGTCGCACATTAAAGTCGAACATTTTTTTTTATTTTAAAAACGCATGTCTGAAATATTATAAACTATATTAAACAGACTTACCTCTATAGTTTTACAAACTCTGCACGTAGTATTTTTTTAAAAAGAAGACTAGAAACCACTAAAACTAGTACAATCTCAGAAACCTGCGTAAGAAACAAGATTCACTAGTGTTTATCTTTAAAACTTTTATATAGAATGTTTACATTCTTTTTAAGTAAATTAAACTATTACAATGTATGCAATAAAGTTGGTAAAACG